ATAAGAAAAGAGGGTGACTTGGAAAGTGATACGTCGAGTAGTGAAAATAGCCTCGACCCGGTGAAACCTTACCCTGAGATTGTGGGATTATAGTCTGGTAAACGTATGCTGGTTGCATTCCCAACTAAACCTCATCAATCGAAGCGTGCCTCCATGATGACCGGGCAAAAGAAAATATGACAACTTGAAAGAAAAAGTTTAAAAAATATCTAGAAAGGCTCGGGCTCACCGAATTTGTAGTGGTCCGGCAACACAAAAAGCTACGCTGGATTGAGTGCACAATAATAAAGAGGTCAGGTGGAACAGATTCACTCAGAAGTGTTCTCTTTAAAATAGTTCGTCGTTGATATTTCGTCGTCAGCGAATAAACAATAATCCAATCATGGTTGCCTAGGTGTCTTCTTCTGAGCAGTTCTCAAATATAATAGATTCCGGAGGTAGTCTGAAATGCTTTGTTACCAAAGTTAGCACATAAGACCCGCAAATGGTCGCTGTAAGCGGAAGCGAAATCAGAAGACAGAGTCGGGGCGCGTGACCACGTCTGCCTGGAGATTTTCTTATTCAAACAAAAAACGGGTGCGTAACTGACAAGATACGTATTGTTATAAATGATGCAAAATGAATGTACAACCATTGGTCAATTTATTAGGACAATTTTTCGATAAATGAAGGAGGTAAAAGCCGGAGAAGTCGGAATAATGCGGTTGATATTTGTGAGCTTACCTCCCCATTCGCATAATGGAATTAAATTTTCGAAAGCTACGTGTCTCTGTTGAACTAAAAGAGACAGTCAATTAAGTTTATTGTACGACTCGAATATTTTGAGTCTCATCCCGGGTTTTCAGCGATGCTTTGAAAGCATTCCGACAGACTTTTTCCGCCAGAGGTATGATTACTTCGGTGGACAATGAAATTCGGTGAACGGCAAAAATGTGATCTTAGATTGAAGTGGTTTTTGGTCCGAGCACATAAGCAACAAAATGCAAAATTTGGTGTGAAACGTTTTATTCCTATCGCAATGGTTTTAAAGCTAAGAGCATTGTGCGGCTAATGGTCCCCTGCACCAACCCGCTGCGACCTGAGAGCCTTGCGGCTCATTGGCTCTAATTGGCAACCAATACGGACCAATAGCTATTCACGTTCCGGTATCTCCTGGTCTCAGGGGACGGTGGCCCGTCCGGAAGCACCGGAAGTGTTGTCTTTACATACGATCTAAATAGGACACGCCATGCATGGGATTCTGATTCGTTCTATGCGCTTGACACACTCCGTGTGTGAAGTATTATATCACTAGTGCTAATTACGAACAGTACTCGTGCACCTTTGGACACTAGTGTCTGGTAAACACAACTAGGAATCATATCTAATTAAGTCACCAACAGCTGGAGTGATCCAGAACCCTTTGTGCACCTCAGCCAACACAAGACCAACGTGCGACGAAACCCGGCGTTAGGCAGTCTGGCTATTAGGTGACAGCAAGCTCGAGCTTGCTGCCAGACCAGTGTTGGCTAAAGGTTTTCATGGAAAAGGGCCACAAAGTAGCAAGCGGGGATGGAGACGGCTACTGTCGAGTTGAGCACCGTGGAGTATCTGAGCCTTTCTGAGTACATACCACCTGACTCCACTTGGGTGTCCTCAGAGACCCTGCAAGTTATGGCATGTAACCCACCACAGTGGAGATCTCAAACCGTCATCGCCAAAGAAAGAGACTTCGTTGACTAGGTGTTTAAGGCTCCATTGGCATATAGTGGCCACTGTGTACTGACTTTTGATTTCAACTGCAGCTGAGCCAGATTCTACGCTCGATTAAGGCGTCCCTATCAGATGGGACATTCTGAGTGAAAGTGGGCTTGACCCACTCTTCTGCACCGGTCTCCATTGGAACTCCTCAAAACTGCGTTCTGGGGCTGTTTCTGTTTCTGATCTACGCCAACAACCTTCCAGATGTTCTTTGAAGTCCACGTCTACTTTTTGCAGATGAGTTGAAATCCGGGAGTTCCAACGCCAGCGTCCCCTAAATGGATGTCGATGCCGCAGAACGGTGGTCACTGAACTGGCACCTTCCTCTGAATGAAAAGTGCGTCCATATGTCATTCAGAGGAAACTCAGCGAAGACCTTTGTCATGCATGGTGAAAATAGACCAGAAAGCATTACGAGGATAAATCCGTCACGAAGAGACAACCTTACCGTGGTGTGATGGTTTGTGTGCCTACATGACCCATCGACCTATGCTGGGAGGGGGGTTGTCCGCGCGACACTCAGAGTCTCATAGCAGGTTGGTCGATGCTTGGAGGTCTGACGAACACAGCTTTCTGGTCGTCTGTAGCACCTTTTCGGTGCCTAACTGCTATGCCACCAGAAAGAAGCACGAGGGCTGGGATACTGCCATGTTGCCCAAGCCTAGGCAGGGGACGTCGAGTGGCAGAGGTCGGTTTCGAACCACGGGCTTTCCAGTCACTAAATTCGCACTCTAACCAGTGAGACAACTCGATCCTCCTTGTGGGAGGTCGGACATGTGTGGCGACGTGTTCCGTAAGTTGATAGTCGCCTTTGTGAGGTTAGTGTAAGAACGTCTGCGAAGCAGTCTCAAGCGGTAATATCATCGATGTCTGCTTGTCGTGTCTGTTTATGCCTCAACTGACTAGCTCTGACACCGTCAAAGACAAGTTTTATGAAGCCATAAATGCCCTGTTGCGGCTAGCTAAGAGCTAAGATACCGCCCATCTCCAAAAAGGGAGTTCGTAGTGAGTGTGATAATAACTGGAGGTTCGGCTTAACCCCGGTTGTGACGAGACTGCTGGCGTTACTTGTGTTTCCTCGCCTTATGGTGGCTCGTGAAACGCTGATTCGAGAGCAGCAAGCGGGGTTTCGACCGGATAGGGGTTGTGTTGACTAAATCTCCACATTCCACCAGGTGGAGTCATGCTATAAACGACCCACAATTTTAGTATTCCTGGATTTTCAAGACATATTCGACCCGGTTGGCGGGCCTGTTCTCGTTCACCTCAAGGAATGCCCCGCAGTTTTATGGACATGATACATTCTTTGTAATATCGGACTTCCGGATGTGAGAGTGTATGCTGAGCTTTTCAAAAGATTCGGTGCTCGAGACGCTGTTCGTCAGTTATACTCATTCTTTACATTCCAACTTAATTTCGTGATCGATGAGATGATGAGAGGAACGTTGGAAGGTCTTCAAACTCCCGGTGTTCAAATAGCCTGTGAAAAAACCCTGTCGATCTGGAATATACGGACGACATCGTTCTCGTCTTTGAAGGGAAGGAGAAAGCGCAGGTGTTTTTGGATGAACCAACCAAAGTCATCCCGCTCTTTGGTATGCACTTTGCACCCACAAAGTGTTAGGGCATGTTCGTGAACTCGCGGTCACTGAGCTCGCCACTTACAGTCCAAGGAGAGGCAGTCGAATTTGTGGATCGTTCAACGTATCTTGAGAGTTGTGTTAGTTCCGACTGTGGTGTGACAGATGAGGTCAATGTACGAACCTGCAAGGCGTGGGTCGCGTTTGCTAATTTCAGACACCTATGGCTTTAAAGCGGTATATCCCCGAATCTCAAGGGACGTGTGCATTAGGCTGTAGCGGGGACCGTTTTGTTATTTGGCTGTGGGACTTGGCCTGTTCAATCAGCGGAACTGAGACACCTTCAGATGTTTGTCAATCGTTTTCTCAGGGCCATAGGTCGTGTGTTTTGGTGTCGGAAAATCCTCAACGATTTTTCGGTTGTGCCACGGAGACTTTCATTGAAGAATGTGTCCAGCACCAAAAGCCGGGTCGGTTAGGCTGTATATTTCGCATGCTGAACCATCGTTTTCCGGGGATATCGCTGTTTTACGTGTCCAATTCAGAGTGGCGGAAGCAGAGAGGTTGCCAACCCTTGACATGGCAGAGGGGCATGAAAGAGATTACGAAACGTTTGGGTGCTATTGGTGCTACTCGCCTGTCGGGCCAAAGACTGCGTGATCTCCACTGTGCCTGGTGGAGCTACCCATTGGACGCTGTAGCTGATAAAGTTGATGCATGAATACGGGGGTGCCAGTGAAATTCTCACTGGGGAGACTGGGAGAAAAGCGGGGGTGAGATGGCCCAAGTGGTTGGAGGGCGAATTTACTGACCGGAAGGTCCGTGGTTCGAACCCGATGTCTGCCACTCGACTTCCCCTGTCTAGGCTTGGGAAACTTGGCAGTATCCCAGCCCTCGTGCAACCTTCGGGTGGCATGGCAGTTAGGCACCGAAAGGGTGCTACAGCTGGACGATTTTTTATTTTTTCTTCTGGTGGAGACGCTGCAAGATTTGACTGCTAATCGATGCCAATGGCGTTCTCGCCATTTTCTATCTAGATTGCCTGAATGAGTGTCTGGGAGTGTAAGCACCACGGAATGATTGTCGCAAGCTGGCACCTAATCATTTTCTCGTCCAGTTATACAGAGTCCAAGCATCAGCGTTAAACACTGATATTATGCTGTCAATGATGATGATGTCGAGGTTAGTTACCAAAAGGTGGCTGAAGTGGTTAGAACCCGAACTTACTGACCGGAAGGTCCGTGGTTCGAAACCGACCTCTGCTTCTCGACACCTCCCCTGTCTAGGCTTGGGCAACTTGGCAGTATCCCAGCCCTCGTGCTTCCTACGGGTAGCACGGCAGCTAGGCAACGAAAGGGTGTTGCATCTGAGCGATTTTTTACCAAGAGGTGTTTCGGTATCTGGCTGTCTTCAAAGAGGTCCTTATCGCTTCACCCTGAAAAATCAGCTCAAAAGGCATTTGTCCTTTGGTGAATTATTCGGCACCGAAAGGGTGCTACAGCTGAATGATCTATTTTATGAATTATTCGGCACATCTCCCCCCGTGTTACCCTCATGGACTTCTAGATACTCTTTGTGGCCTACGTCAGGTCGCTCCTTGAATATGCCAACCAAGTTGTCTACTCAGGACGGAAGAAAGACCTAACCCTCATTGAACGTGTCCAACGAGCTGCTACAAAAATGGCTGCTGTTCTTGAATCCGTGGACTACGAAACGCTTCTCGCCGTGCGTGACTTCTTTACCCTGGAGTATTGGCGCCTCCGAGGAGACCTAATACTTACCTATGCCACGTTTGAACGAGGTTTGGTCAATAAGTTTTTCACTGTTGACCCAACTAGCTCTAGGCAGGGACGTAGTACGATTTTCACTCTCAGAGCGCATAGCTTCATTGGGCAACAAATTTTTCTTTTTCCGGGTAGTTAGTGTGTGGAATTGCCTTCCTCCGACGGTATCCAGTTCAAAGCACTTTTAGACGCTTTCTTAGTTGAGTTCTCGCGCTGGCAAGATTACTGCCTTGCGCTGAGAACTTAAGGATCCATGCTACAGCGCGCTTGTACCTTTCAGGTGAACGGAAGCCGCTGGACGACATGAACAACCTCGACCCAGGAAGTTTGGGTGAAAGCCTCGATCCTGTGTATCAGTCTGTGAATTGGTGAAGTGTGACCAATGGCTTGTGGCAACAGATCAGCTGCTTGATTCGGACGCACCAGCCACATTGTTTTGGTCATATGCTTTGTATGCCGGGTGTTTGATTGCTCTGCCATGCGCTGTATGCTGAAGTGGGTCCTGACTCCAAGGTACCAAAAGGTGAACAACACACTACCTGGAAACGTAAAGACGTAACAAAAGAGTGTGGTTGCACCGATGCATGTTATATGCAACGTTCGGGTGCCAAAGATCCACCACATCAATATTCACTGTCACTACGGTTTCATGCAGCCAGTGGTGGTTATCTAGTCTCTTGTCCCCAACCACTAACCCGGTTTCCATTTTTCCTTGCTTCCTCTACCTTTCTTTATCACCATAGACCGGAACCACCATGTATACGTACATGACTCATTGCTGTAAAAGTGAGTTGACAGCTAAGCCTCTATATCAACTTTCCCGGTGATCGATGGAGGATGGCCATGTTCCCAGATATTGAAAGCATGTAGTGCCTAAGTCAGCGTTCCAGGAACCTGATTTCGGTTAACGGAAAAGCGATGGAAATGTTTATTCAAGCCAACATAGACTAGCATATGGGAGCTGTCCACGCCTGCGCACAAAAACACCGGTTTCCGAAAGTTTCCCCAGTAGGCTGACAACATGCTTGCGAGAGAAGAGTAGGTGGTTGCCATTGACAGTAGGTTTTAGCTGGCTATGGTACATATTGATTTCAGCAAGGTCCTTGGTAATGTCTCTTCTGACCAGCTGTTAATCACACTCTGCTAATAGGCCTTTGGATTCGCCACCCCCATCTTCAGGACGCTTTGTGTTACCAGTACTTTCTCATTGCTGTCCGCGCTGCAAGGATCGGTGCTTCACCCTGTTCAAGATTTTTGTGAATGCTCCTCCAAATGAAGCGCAACTCGAGTGTAGGTATACGGACAGTTCGAAAGTGTCGGTGGCTGCGGCGTCTCATAACGCAAATGAGCAGTTCTAAGCAGCCCTGAGTTCGTCGCATGGTTGATCTTCTCCATGACCATTTTCCGTGTGTGTTATCCATAGAAAGTCCACAACCTAATGGTGTGTACCCTATCAATGAATCCTTACTTCGTAAGGCCTGCGAGAAAGACCTGTGTTGATATGAAAACAGACACCAAGGTGAAGCTTACTTTCAGCTGTTCGGCGCCGCTGTCCGGTACTGTTGTATTATGATTGGATTATGAGTTACAGCAGCCATCAGAATGCTGTGGGTGATCAAGTCGCTCGCTTTTACATTTCTCGATGTTTCTCAATTGCTGTTCTTCATTCATATTCTTCCTACTCCAGACCGTGATCAACTAAAGGGGGTAATCATCTACAGGGTCCAGAGGAGTGTGGCCTGCGCCGGATCACATAAGGAGATTACCTGCCGCACTTAAGTCCTTTCTTCCGTCGTCGTTGGGAGATATCAAAATGAGATGGAGGTATGAAGACAAAAAATTACCACCAGATCCAGCAAAACAATCAAAAGTCACGACGGAATCTGTTTAGGCCAAAAGCTATATTTAGGTTTGGTGACTGATGATAAATCCAAGAAACTAATATTATTACCTGATGGGACACCCAACCGTGCCGTCTGTCTCGGGAGTCCGTATGAATGGGCTTGCACGGCGTTCCCCTATTCTGCCGTCTAAAGCTCATCTACAGTTTGTCGTGACCTAAAACTGTCACATTGTCGTGGTGATGCACTGATCCTGCGAACTACATTAATTAGAATTAGTCTTCTTAAGTTTCAGCCATTCCAGGAAGACCAGCAGGGAGCAGTTCCTCTTATTAAGAAGCGGTCTGGAAGTAGAGTGGCACTATCTGTTGAGACCATAGCGTGTTCCCCAGGTGACCAATGCTTCCTGAAACGTTCTTTTTATCGGTGAATTCAAAAGTACTTTCCCCTAGCAGCTAACAAGTGTAATGTCTGACCGGAAGTACGCGTAGCTGGGACGCAAATCTTCGCAAGTGAATCGCTGGCGTAGAAAGAAACCAGTGACAACTTGGATTTCGAGGTCAATGCCGTCGTATTTTGTACGTCTTTTGTCGTTTCTGAACGCCGACACATTTCTTCAGTGAGCTGTCATAGAGTTGTGTGGCCGGAATTCTTAGCTATTTTGGATCCATCTGTCGAGATAAACCGACAATTTCCTCTACCTCAAGTATATTTGCCCCTTTTGCCCAGGAAATTATTTTCATAAGTATTGACTGTACCTTTAACAGAGGAACGTACGGAGCTCGGTGTTTCCCGTATTTTGTTGATGCGAATCAAATTGGTCTTTCGTTAGACAGAAGCCGTTCTTTTCTCCAAGCTTGTATGTTGCAAGGTTTGGATGAATGACACTGATAGTTATGTTACAGTGTCTTTGGAGGAGAGATATCCGTTATTCCTTTCCAGATCTCTGAGGCTCACAACCACTAACACACTTGCAGCTTTACATTGTGGAGCACGTTCTAAACCTGATAAAGTACTCATTATCTAGGCGAGTCTGCTGTTTCTGTAGCTTCTTCAATGAACATTTTAAAAAGATATCAAGCAGTTGATAAGAGCTTTCAGCAGGTTCAGATTCTTCGGACTCCTCGACCAATCGACACACGAGAGTGCCATATTTCCGTTACGTATTGTAACATTTGAGTTTATCCTTCTTAGTTGGTTAGTTTCGGGAACTGAATAGTTAGCTCACCATAGTATATGGGTAACGTTCGGTCATTGGCTGCAATCAGTACACAGAGAGCCGTAAGGAGACGGTGATGACCGCAGTATCATTTGTTTTATCAAGTTCGCGCATTACCAACTGTTGTCTCACTTTCCTTGCAGCATCGAACGGTCCCTTTGCGGCATGCCTCGATCGGTGAGTAAGCGCCGGTATGAGCGTGCCTTACGTTCAGCTAAAGCCAAGGCTAGGTCGGAACTAAATAGTTCACCTTCTCAATGGTGGCATTATGGTTTTGACAAAACTTTCGACCTATCACCACACTGCTTCCAAGATTCATGCCCTAGGCTAGATGCAACTGAAACCTCCCTTGAGCAGTTTCGAGATGAGTTCGAAAAGCCGAGCAAACCGGTGGTAATAGTCAACGACCAGCTGGACTGGCCCGCCACAAAAAAGTGGACACTCGAGGTAAGCTGCTTGTCGGACGTCCACCTCTAAACCGTTCTACTTACAGCGATTAGCCAAAAAGTACAGGAATCAGCGTTTTAAATGCGGAGAAGATGATTCCGGCAACTCGGTGAAAATTAAGATGAAGTATTTTGTGCAGTACATGCATGATAATCAGGATGACAGCCCTCTATATATATTTGATGCGAATTACGGTGAGGTAAGTCTTTACTACGACAAAAACATTCCCTACCTTTGATTTAGCACCCGAAACGGAGAAAACTTTTGGACGATTACGTCATTAGCAAGTTCTTCCCGGAGGACCTCTTCACTTACGGAAGTCACAGACGTAGGCCTCCTCATCGGTATGTCTACCAACCTAAGTTACGTTTCACAACCGTTGAATTTAAACTCAGGTTCACTCTGAGAGCCATTTTATGTTTTATGTTCCCCGACGGATTTCTAGCCGTTCGTATTATTTACCAGAGCGGGCAACATCGCGCGTCCAAGCCACCGTAGTTTCTTGCTATATGTATGCCTTAGGACCCGGCTGTTTCCCGAAAATCTGAGTGCCATGCATGTCACGCTAACGGACGCTCATCAGGTGAAAGTGGAAAAGTGGATGCCTTGGTTCCGGTTGGCGCTTCTTACCGTTGAGGATGAAGTGTTTGCTGATTGGGATTGGGCAGCTAATGGATTTTGTCTGACAGTCTTTTTCTTATGAGTCCAATAAACTCTGTCCTCGTCACGAAGAGCATGGACCTTATATTAGTGTGACCATTTGTGTGCCTTCGTGACCCACATACCTATACTGGAGGGTGTCCTTGCGTCATTAGCGCAGTCTCTCATACCAGGTAGGTCGATTGTTAGAGGTCTGAGCAGCAGTCTCCCGGCCTCTAGGTTCGGCGTTAGGACATATGACACCAATTATTGTCTAAAAATGGTAATGCACTTGCATATCCCACCAAACACCGCTGCCTTGCAGTCAAGCTTTTGAGCCAAAAACTTTTGTCGCGAACCCTAATGATACTCCTTTCTGGGTGTGAGCACCGTGGCAGCATCCAAGCCCACGTACAACCATGATACCTACAACTAACAATAATCTCATGCCACATCGGCTGTCGCTTGGTGTCATCAGCCTGGTCACCTTGTTGCACACACCAGGGCGCACAAGCGAAACCATGATACTGCTGACACCTCCATTCGTGTTCTTTCACATAATTTTACTCCCCCCCTCCACCATCCCAATAATAACTCCGTGTGGACCCACCAGTTAGGGCTGACGGTGCTGTTCACCTTGTATCGGCCTTGACCGCCAGATATGTGCTTCGTTCGGCGCTGACGTCCTCAGACATCTCAAAATCAACCTTTGGACCTCGGTGTGACCGCTCCTAATGTTCGAACTCCGAAGCAAGCCGGACAGTAAGCAACTCATGCTCTCATTGTATTCACTTGATATTGACGTGTACTGTGTATCAAAAACAGAAAAAGATGCAAGCACAGTAGTTGGACTAACTGTTTCATCACTCTCCAGTCACCCCTGGTTTCGAACCTCTCGCGATACCGAGGCCACTGCAGTAGGGCGCTCAGGGGTCGGCATCCTCATAATCTACCGGGCCGAAGGATCTTTGCTCGACTGGATATGATGGTCTTCTTTGTGTTATTCGTCTGATAAAGTCCGTGAAGGGGCTCCACACGCGGAAAGTTGATCGCTCTCTGTTCACGCCTTAACCGACCGTAGCTCTGACACAATCAGAGACAAGTTTTATGACCCCCTAAGTGCTAAATGCTCAGATATCGTTGCGGTTGCCGGAGGTATGAATGCACAAGTGGCCAGGCATAGCTCTTTTGATAGGAGGAGCTAGGAGCAGGGACAATGGCGAGCGATTGCTTCGCTCTTGGGCTAACCTCAGGCTGTTGCTATGTAGTCTTGACTTTCGAAGTAACCGCAGTCATCTGGTCACATGGTATCCTTGAACAATGTGCCGACTACGGAATCAAATTGATCACATCACCATCAATTACCGATTGCGCGGGTCAACAACCGACTGCCGCTCGTTTCGGAACACATTTGTGGATTTCGACCACGAGCTCATCCGTTTTCCAGGGCCTCATAAGGTGCGGGCAAACTGCTCAGCAACTGAGAAACTGCCAGGTCTGGATGCTAGACGAGTTCACCAGAATCGTCTTCTGCAGTCTCTTCTAGCTGCTCCACCATCAGATGTAAGTTCATGCTGGGACGAGGTCGCCACCTCATTGCACACTCCTGGGACTTTTTTTCTGCGGCATGGCGCTACCGGGTCCGCTGAAGCACTGGATATCAGACCGAACAGTGGCACTGCTTGCCTGTCGGCGCCTGCCGGCCCCGAACATAATTTGGTGTGACAAATTAGCCCTTTTTCGAAAGGGAATGAGAGTGCTCGCTGACTTTAAAGCCTGATGAACTCGGAAGGCTGAAGAAATGGAAGAGGTCCAAAAAGCCCGGGATACCCGAAGATTATTCCAGGTAATCCGTTTGACCGGCCCTCGGAAACCATTTGTGGACGGAACCATCAAGGCTCAGCGCGGTGACCATTTTGAGTGAAGAAGAACGCTTCAGGCCAAAACCTTCTAAAAAAATTTCTCGAGGACACTATCTGCTACTCATTTGTATCCTATAGGCGAATGGAACCCTGGTTGGTGAATGTGGAGTGCACCCGAGGGTTAATGACTACATAGGTTCTCTTGATCGCGACTGAACTGTTGGTCGGATGACATCCCACAAGCATTGTTCAGAAATAGGGGTGAAGTTCTCAGTTAGCACTTGTCTGATCTGTTTGCCTGCATTTTGAAAAAGGACTATTCCAGACAACTGGGGAGAATTGGTGGTTGCGTCCTCTTTCAAAAAAGGCCTCGTAGTTTTCGTAATCACAGGGGTCAGTTTGACTCCGGTCGTGACGAAAGTCCTGGCGTCACGTGTCCCTCGTCACCTTGTGGTAGATCGTGAATGGCTAACTCGACAGCAGTAGGCGGTATTCAAACCTGGCAGGGGCTGCGTTGACCAAACCTTCATACTCCATCAGGTGATAGAACAACATCTTGCCCCACGACCCACAATTTCAGTATCCATGGATTTCCAAGACATTTGACTCGGTTGACCAGTTTGTCCTCCTCTTTGACAGGCTTGCCCAGCACTCAATACTTTGAGAGTCTGTGGGATGAAAGTCAAACCTCTTGTTTGTAGATGAGACAATCGACGTCTTAGATAAGGTTGTTTACCCTGGCAGTTGTATGAGTTCCGATGGAGTAGCTGAAGACGAGATTGCTTCCCGAATCGGAAAGTCTAGGACAGCTCTCTCCAACATCCGACGTCTATGGTGCCGGCGTGAAGTCAGTTCTTGTGTCGAGAGCAGATTTTTCTGTGCGGCAGTTCGATTTATACTGCTCCATGAATCAGAAACTTGGCTTCTACACGAAAAGGACACACGAAAGCTATCAGTATTTGACCATTGGTCTAGTCGACTCTGTGGGGACATCGGATTAGCAATGCCTGGGTACTCCAGATGGTTGTATGGAAAATGGACCCTCAATTTGTAGGTGAGTCACTCACTCTTCAATGGTTACATTCGTTAGGATGTGTACTCTGCATACCAGAGGACCATCTGCCCCGCACAACTAATCCCGTCCTGTGCTGAGTGGAACCGACTGAGAGGTAGACAGTGTGACCTGACGATGAAGTATGAAAACACTAGCCAACCAACTCATTCGGGTGGGCAGCTTCTGCCTTTCTAAACGGGGATCCCAGGACTAAACTCACTAGAGGTTGGTGAAACTGGTACACGTGGCCGGATCGCGCAGTCAGTAGCGTTCGTGCATTAAAGCTATCGCCTTCGATGCGTGGTTGCTTGTTCTCGAACTAATTGAAGATGCTGTCACCTCCGGTACTTTGCCGTGTTTCCGACGCTCTCCCATTCCCGTGGTCGGAACTGTAACTGCTGGAACAAATATACTCATGTTTTGTAGTTGAGGAATTAATGTAGTGAATCGGTTCTCAGAGTTCTGGGCGTGTGGGAGTATACGGAGAGCTCTCAGGTGTTCGACAACTGTTGTCTCAGAACCATAGATCGTGTGGGTTCGCGCCGGCAAATTCGTAACGATAAATGAGAAGGCGAGATTTGGTTGTGCAGCGGGAACCTCCGTTGAAGAATGTGTCCAGCACCAGGAGCTGCGTTTGTCAGGCCATATATTACGCACGCCAAACCGTTGTTTGCCGAAGAGAATGCTGTTTTCCGTGGCCATTTCAGGGTGGCGAAAGCAAATGGGTGGGCAACCTTTCACCCGGCAGAAGGGTATGAAAGGGATTGCGAGTCTGTTTGCTGTCTGTGCGACTTGCCTTCCCGCATAGGGACCGCGTGATACCAAGTATACGTCGTTGGAGACGCTACACGATATGGCTGCTAAATGATGTCATTGGCGTTCTTGTTGTCAGTTTCTATCCAGTTTGCCTAAATGAGTGTCTGGAGGTGTAAGCACCTCGGAATGACCTTGGTAGGCCAAAATCAAGTCCTTTGCCTATCCACTTTCATTCGTTTCTTCACAATAAGGAATTCAAATGGGTTATGGTTGTAAGGTTGTGAGGAAGAGCAGTGTTTAACACTGATATCGTGCTGTCCATGATGATGTGGCTTGTGGTTCAGTAACGTCTCATATTATGAAAGGCGATCACACTTCATCATGGTCAAGTCAAGATTGCAAAAACTTCTATCAGTACTCGAGAGGGTTATGCTTCGGCTGGGGTAACGTACAACCAACCGTATGCTTTTGTTCTGTCCATCAAATCTGAGGGTATTTGAATTGCAGATGACGCCAGTCTGGATCGACTGATTCCTCGCTAGTGGAAATTCACATCGTTTTGTGCGTTGATTCATCAAGAACAACATTGGTTTGTTATTCTACGCCTGTATGCCACTTTCGGAGTAGGCGTGATTTCGAATAATGTAATGTTTGACCAGGGTATACCTCCACAATTTGTTCTTGAGTTATCAACAGTTGAATGCTTCCAAATTTCGGACCTTTCTGTCGCTATCATAGTGGGTAGGTTTTTCCCAGGAGTCAGCTTACATGTCACTATGCTGCATTCAAACGTGGGAAGGGACTGTACATGAGGATTCCACTTTAGAGTCGAATATTCGGAGTTGAAAGTTGGTAAACTCCTGTTTCAAAGAATTTGCAAGTTGCGAAATGTGATTGCATCGGAACTGCTTGGGACTATTAGATGCGACCATGTTGGTGTCCTTGTGATGCCTTCTAGTAACTAATGGAAACGTCCCCACTTGTTTCTGTTCTCCTCGTAGTGGATTCACATTGCTACTTGTTCTATGTTAAAACTTAGCGCCTGATATTTGTGTTCCGTCAGCATATGCTTTTCCACCATAGCTCGTGTTGACAGGATTAGTGAGCTGCAGCATACCTTGCCGGCTTATAACGACGCTCAGAAGTTTGTAGCACATGCCTGGTTTGTTTATGGTTTTCGTTGCTTTCCGGCAGTTTTTATTGCAAAGCATAGTTATATCGTTTTCTTTGTCACACTAGGTGGTTCGTCATGGGACCGGCCCGTTCAGGTACTGGTATCCACATCGATCCTCTCGGTACTAGTGCATGGAATGCCTTGGTTCGGGGCTATAAACGGTAAGTTAATTTAGCAATCGAGGTTTCCGGTTTAGGTGCTGATTCCTTTACATGTTCAAACTGACTAGGGGTGAGATGGCCCAAGTGGTTGGAGCGCGAATTTACTGACCTGAAGGTCCGTGGTTCGAACCCGACCTCTGCCTCTCGACTTCCCCTATCTAGGCTTGGGGAACCTGGCAGTATCCCAGCCCTCGTACCTCCTGTCAAACTGACTGCGGAGTTATTTCCGCACAAGTTTTCATAAAGCTGCACTGATTGCACATATTTGCTGAGTGGTCGGTTTCTACCGAATACCACGACCGTCGTTACAGTACGTGCCAGTATTTGAGGCGGTAAATCTCATCTCCCGTCTCACTAGTAGATTAGTACCAGTCTAACTCCGCTAGGAAATATTGGGATGCTCTCATGGATGATTTAGCTTAGTCTGTCCTCGTTTTGCTCTATCAAGTTAATCGAAACTGTCATGTAAGAAATGGATGGAGAATAGCAACAGCAACGTACTAGCTAGTACTTAACATGATTATTCATCAATTTTTCTCGTACATGCTCTCCATTCTGCATTCCACACAACACGATTCTATTAACTCTCCTAGCTGGTGTTTGTTTCCCCCACAAACACCGAAAGATTTAGTCAAGCCACGTCCGAACGAGGGTGGATTGAACAAAAACGAGGCTATCGCATGGTTCGCCTACGTTTATCCCCGTACAAGACTACCCGACTGGCCCCAACCTTACGAACCTATCGAGCTACTCCAACGTCCAGGGGAAACAGTGTTCATTCCCGGTGGTTGGTGGCATGTTGTTCTCAACCTGACCGACACAATTGCCGTCACGCAGAACTTTTGCAGGTTTGTTTTAGGTTATGTGATCGGTTCCCAAAGCTTGTTTCTGTCTCCAGAAATCGACGTCCATAACAGATGGCTCATCGAACGTTTTTGCTCACAGCTTACCTGTTACTTTCGTAACATCACGGATGCCGAATCATAGAGGCAGACTTTTGAGTGTTGGGAGTTCTAGTGTCGAGGATGGTTTGGCGAAGTTGGTTCCTACTAGAGGACGAGCCGGTTCCATGAATATCCCCAATTGCAGTCATCTCACCAGTTAATTGTTGAACGAGGTAGCTTGCAATCTAAACAGCAGGGTCCTCGATAATCTTTTGCGAACAGTTCGTTGATCCCTTTCGTAAAAATACACTGTTTTTCATGTGAGAATCTAATGAGCAGACCCGTAGGACACACAGCAAAACATGGCCCGAAGTGGTTGCTCTTCCGCTAGATGACAATTAAGCTTTCATGTATGTACTCTACAATTCCATGTTTATATTCAGTAGTGCATGAACGACGCATAATGCCGTCTATTTTCAACAAAGATTGTTTTTAGGTTAGGAGGCTGACTTCTTAAGTTAGTGTGGGGAAACATTCCAAAATATATGGGGACAGAGCGTCTGCTGTTTTAGGAAGCGTGTTGAACTGACTTGAACGGTGATTGCATGATTGAGTGAACGATGCTAAGCTTCGCAAAAGGGGAACTCATTAAATGGGAGCCAAATTTGTACCAATTCGCTCTTTTGTGTTATACTCTTGATGTACAGCCTCCATGCAACAGGAAGAATAAAATACTTTCAGATTGTCCAGTCTATGGAGGGGCCTTAACAGTATGTCGAGCTCTGAATCAGAACAGAGTGGTCCGGGGGAGGGCACTAACCGATTAACGGACCGTGGAGTGTTCTTAACTGTAAAAGGAAGCAGAAAATTCGGCAGACGTTGAAATGAAAAATACCGACACAGCAGGGGTCCGGAGATGGACTTGGACCCCTACCTTCTCGCTCACTATACGAGTGCTGTAACAACTGAACTTCCGAGGGTACGTGCTATCGGTTACACGTATGGCCTTAAGGCTCATACCTCATTCATCGAATCTGTGCCTTTTATTACTCACGTTCGTGGTTCAGAGAGGTAAGGACGACACTTAGATAAGTTGTGTAAAGTAGTTTGGCACTTCATATGTGAACAGTTTCGTGATACGTGCAAAATGAGTAACTCATGGATGAAGCAAGCTGTTGAATATGATTGGGGAGGGAGTTTGGCAGATGAACATCAACCCAGGTCTTGAAAATTAGAAGGCTACAAGCATTTGTTGATACATGAAATAGAAGGGAATCCCATAGACGGACAGTTTTGGGGATGAGTGAAACTTGATATCGGCGACTTGAGAGTGGATTAACTCATGTTACTACGAATTCTGT